AGCGGGGCTTGAAGGTCCGCGGGTAAAAAAGTCCATCAATAACACAAACTAGTAAAGTATAGGGCAAAAGATGTGCTACTAGTGGTAGCATTTATTTCTTCATTCATCTATTCATCTACCATTTAATTCTTTGTTAGCCTTTTTGTTTTTGAACACGGATGTTTAGTTGATTTGATAACTGAATATAATTTCAACCTAATAACTAAACAGCATAAACCTCTTTTAAATTGAAAATAAAATGATGGCTCTCCCTTTTTACCCCGCCTATGGAGTAAAAAGAGTCCTTTGAAATTTGTATGAAATATAGCTAAAAACACATATTACAATTATTAATGAGCTGGGAATTTTATAGAATATGGTTGGAATGTCGTTTGTTTTGTTTCGATTAGTTAGTTCGGTTTTCACAGTATTAATGCAACAAGTCAACTTCGGCCCTTGTGCCCCGTCCTTCCCTATATATAACAATTCAATTTATATCCAGAAATTATAAACACAAACACATCAATTATCCAATATAAACAAATTTATGTTAAATAAATTTCGCTTTTGATCGTTATTATTAAAAATTTCTTTTTCAACTATGAATGGCAAAACATGCTGTATCATGATTAAATTAAATTGTGCATGAAAATCTATTCAATAAGATGGTTCACTTAAAGTACAAGATTAGATATATGTACATTTATTTCTCTAGCGGAAAATTATTAATCAAAAATATTCCACAAAATTGAATTAACGATAAGATAATATTCGAAAGGTAGAAGCTATCACTTACAAAATTGCAAAACATAGTAGGTACATTTACATATACTACTTACATGAATATTTTTGATAGTAATTGACGTATAATTATATGCTTTTATATATGGATAATAACATAGATCAATCAACTTTAACATTTTCCAATTTCTATGATACATTCGTAAGATGCCTGAAGCAATTTTGGAAACGCAATTTGATAGTTATGTTTAGTATATTTCATTATTAATTAAAAATTTTTGTTTTATCTACTATCATAGTTAACAATCTAATTCGATTGACAAAACAGTTTCGATTTTATTTTCGTAAAAGTAAGGGTGCATTCGACTTGGACGCTTACGCGCTGTGAGCGCTCACGCTTATAAGCACGAATTTTTAGCGTTCGACTTGGCCGATAAGCGCTCAGAATCGATAACTAAATTCCGTTCGTTTTGGATACTGTGAGCGTCAATAAGCATCAAAATGGCGGCAACTGGCGGTAACGGTAATTGTGTAAATTTTATTACTTTCTGGATCATTCAGCGGGATTATAAAGAATTTAACAATTAATAAATAAATGAAATTTCGTTTGCTTATGCTTAATTCATATTAACATTAAAATTAAAATTTAAAATTATTTAAAATTAATTAATATTAATATTAATATTAAAAAATAATTGTGTTATACAACTTGGCATTTTTGCGGGATTATAAAAAATTTAACAATTAATGAATAAATGAAATTTGGTTAGCTTATGCTTAATTAATAGTAATATTAAATTTAAAATTATTTAAAATTAATTGAATTTAAAATTAATTAATTTAATAATATTAATACTAAAAATAAATGTGATATACAACTTGGCATTTTTGCGGGATTATATAGAATTTAACAATTAATAAATAAATGAAATTTGGTCAGCTTATGCTTAATTAATAGTAATATTAAAATTGAAATTTAAAATTATTTAAAATTAATTAATATCAATATTAATATTAAAAAATAATTGTGATTTACAGCTTGCCATTTTTGCGGAATTATAAAGAATTTGACAATTAATAAACAAATGAAATGACAGATAGTAAAAACAACTGACGCTCACGCTCACGCTGCCCTACCTCTGTGGCGTGAGCGTATGTGAGCGCAAAATTTGTGCTACGAGCATCCTACGATGGTGCTACGAGCGTACTTATGTGAAACTCACAGCGCCAAGTCGAACGATGAAAGCGCGCTCACGGCGCGCTCACAGCGCGTAAGCGTCCAAGTCGAATGCACCCTAAGTAACTGAATAAAAGTATTTTGAGTATGAATAATTTTGTAAAGATAAATTAAATAATGGTTTATTTAATTTAATCGGGCTTTTAAAAACATTTCTACAAATTTCTTCAATTTGCTATCAAGAATACAAAGGATATAGCGTTTTTCGCAAATTTTATACAGTATATATATTTTGGTTCGTTAAATATAAATTACACAAATCCATAAAAAAAGTTGTCTGTGTTGGGCGTGCGGCATATGTTTTCGAATGTAGTTTTTAACGCTGAACACAAATATAATGTCGAAATTGGAGGACAAATCGCCAAATTATTTAAAAAAATATAAAAAAGCAAAATCTCTCATCTAGTAATTTTTCTGCATAACCAAAATCTTATAATTGCTGTCGTTTCCTGGCCCTTAAATAATTGTTGAGTATTCACTTTAATGTTTTTTTGTAGAATACAACTGTAATTTGCAAACATATTTTCAATTATTTAATTGCAGACGTATTTGCAGATTATCCAGGAAAAATGGGAAGCTAAGATGTTCGCAAATTACTCAATAGTCAATTAAGGCTAGGAAACGACAGAAATTATAAGATTTTAATCATCATACAAAACAATTACTAGAGCGGAAATTTTGTCGTTTTTTAAATGTTTTTTATTTAATTTTTGACTTTACCCTCAATTGATTGCGTTTGACTTTACCCTCAATTGATGCGTTTTTAGCTATAAAATCTATATTGGAAAATATATGTTGCAAACCAATACTTAATAAAATCTATGAATGTTCAATCCATAATAAATTTAGTTTCATTAGATGAGTAAAGTAATTGCTTTGGTTACATTTTCCAATCCCTATTAAAATTTGTTGTAATTTCTTCAGCAAAACGAAGCAATAATTGTTAGAAATTTTATTTATATCCATTTGATTTTAATGGTTGCCATAAATCAAACATTGACAATAAAATATGATCCATTACTAAATATACAAAAAACGATAATAATATTTTAAATCATGAGCTCTTTCTAAAATTTATGTTGTCTATTTTCAGAAGATGTATCAGCTAAAGTGGGCCATCGTGTTGATAGCCGCCGTGGACTTGACATATTGCACGAATACAAATGACAATGAGAATGGTAATAGCATCAACTTTTATCTATTGATGTCAAATTATCTGACACTTATGTATCATGTATCAAATTACTACTTTAAATGTTTATTTATCGAAAAACTAAATTTTTCAATTTGACAACATTTTTTATAAACAAAGAGAAGAAAAGAAAGACAAATATATAGCGATTAAACTTCTAGCAAATCTGAATTTGAATTTGATAGGAAAATTCGTAATATGAGGATTGGATTAAGGAGCGAAATTTTCTTAATTTTATACACGAATTTCGAACAGCCAAATCTCAAGATCTTTCGATCATAATTTGATTATTTCGGTACAAATCATATTTAAGTGATTTTGTAAACTGGTTCGTAAAAGGCCTAATCAATTTGGTTAAAATTAGGTGACAAAAGAATGAAGATATTTTCAATTTCTCAAAGTAATATAAAAGCTAATTGTAAGTTATTCTATTGGTGATATCTGTTTCTGCATTCTATATTTTAAGTGCAATTCGAACTATGGTAATATTTAATAGAACTTCCCGTACCAAAAACTAAAGTTTTTAAAGTCTTTAAAAAATTTTTCAAAACTGAAAAAAATAGATTTATGAGAAATTTGATATCTTAGAAAAAAAAATGACTTTTTTGAAAAATTTGTTTTTTTTTTTTGAAAATTGAGTTTTTTCTTAAAGCAATCGCGCTGGATACCTGTTTTAGAGTCGAAATATCAAAACGCGTAAGCGCCGCATCGTAGAGTCTAATGTGTAAACATTAGTACGGAACCCATGAAAATGTACACATAATTTGTACTTATTATTATAATCTCTATAAAGTATTTGATAATATGATGTGCATATGATCATTAGCAATATCAAAAGCATCCGAATCATTTTTGACCGCCAAATAGCATTTTTTGTTACTTTTTTATTGATCTCCGATTCGGGAGATCTTCCCAAAAAAATCAGTACTTAATTTTGTTAATACAAATAAAATGTTTTATTTTGAATCATTTAGATCGGACGCTCCGTTCTCTCAAATACTTAATTAAATACAAAATGGCTAGACCTGCCTTTGCGAGAAACTAATCAGCGCGTCTCCTTTTCTGAATTATCCAAATCGGTTGATCCATGCTGCCGAAATCGTCAACGATTTGTATCCGAACACACACACATATACATCCAATTTTTCTAAGGTATGCTAAATGGTTCAGAAACCTTTGAAACGTAAAGATATGCAAAAATTATCATTTTCGATTGTTTTGCAATTACTATAACATACCCTGGAAAGTTAATAATTCCAAGAGTTATTAACCTTGTCTGGACCGGTTTAAAAAATTTGGCGTTGATTAGTTTTGCACAATGATAGCGTTGATTAGATTTTGGTAAAGATAGGCTGGTCCGATGTTGAAAAAAAATTTGGACAACTTTGATGTATTTTTTATGACAGAGATTATAGTCATATTAATCATACTAAAATTTTACGTCCCTACTCTAAGAGGTTTAGTTTTGAAATATGGCTGTTTCGTTAAGTCGATTATCTTACTCAAAAATATATCCCATATTTGCTGAATCCAAAACATTTTAAAACTCGAACCCCTTTTATATTCCCCATACTTTAGTATAGTTTGTTATTTTTCAACTTGATGAGGTATGAAATATAATATAATTTTTTCATCAAGTAACTTTTCGTACAATATGATCAAAAAATTAGATAAGAATTATATCAATTCATTGAATATAAAAATATTTGAAATAATACAACAACACACAATGTAAAAACTTATTAAAAAAAAGATCTTAAATCCAGACGATGCAAAGCGAGGTAGTATAACTTTATATAAATATATAGCTTTTGTAAAAAAAAAATAATGAAAAACTATAATTTCACTCACCTTTAGCAGAACCACGTCAAAACCGAGTATTATTCTCCCCCCGGATGGAATTCGCGCATTGGCGTCCGATTGGCAGGGGCGATCCTTTACAAAATGACCCCACCTTCGACTATGTTCCTCCGGTATTAGAGCGTGTTCGGTATTGGGCTTCGAGTGACGAACGAAACGAGCCTAAATCTCATCTACCAGAAGAGGATCAAAGCCAAAAATACCACTTTCCACACCAGGAATTAAGAAGCACTTATCTCGAAGAAGATGACCCGAGCAATCGAGACGATGATGTACTGGAGAGTAGGGCAACAGTCATTAGACGAAAAGATACAATCAATTCTGGTCCAGGATTTATGAGGTTTGTGGACGCACCTCGATTCAGGCCCAGGCCAATGCATAAACGACCTATGCCGGCAACTATTTTGATGCCGCCTCCTGCAATAAAAAAACAGGTAAACATTATTCATCTATCATAATTAATAAAGTTATTCAAACAGTTAATTATTACAATTAAGATTTTTTATTTAAAAGTTAAATACAAAAAGCATTTTTACTAACAAAAACTATTCTCAAAAAGAAAATATAGGTCATATTATTATAAACCACATTTCATAGAAGGGCAAAAATTAATCAAAAGTGAACAAAAAATAAAGCATTTATTGAAAGCATGTTCTGTGAAATCTTTTTCATGCATTGAAGTACTTTGTATTGAGAAGAGGAAATAGTCATTAAAGTCCTTACTTCATGATAAAAAATTAGATAAGAATTAGATTAATTCATGTTTAAAATAGGTGTTGCCATATTAATTAATTATTCAAACAAATAAGTGGTGAATTATTAATTTGAAATTACATATATTTTTCGGACGTATTTTCGTTTTATTATATTGACCATGAAGGTGACAACCTTCATGGCATTGAGATTTTACACGGGATGGTTGCTACCCCTGGTAGAGGGGGTAGCAGAGAGTTTGATAGGAGTAATTCAATTTTAAAAGTAAAGTCAGCGCAACAACATGAGAGTTTTAATAAATTTCATAACTACGTAACGCACATACATACATACTTACGATATTTGCAATTCGTGATCGATTCGATCGATATATTCTTTGATTTTTGATATATTATTAAATCAACGACTTATTAATTAGATCATAATGCCAATGGAGTGAAATATGGTCAGTAAATAGTTGAGCAATATTGCAAACGCAATACATTATGCATTGATGAAAACGCTTTAATTCTTAAAAGTTTATCAATAACCTACAACAAGCTCTTTTTGATATAATACGAACTTTATATAATTTATTAGATATTAAAACTGCAATTGAGCAATTTAGTCGTTCGAAAATAGAAATACAAAGCTTCAAGCAACAATAAATAGCAAAGATTCATACAATAAAATACTTATTACCAATTCCTAGATGTATTCCCAATTGGCATCTTTATAATGATCTTTGATTAATGCTATCAGAAATGAGGTAAGAGAGTTGTTAGTTTAGTAATTTAACACAAAAAAATGAAAACAATCCTAATGATCTATTACAAGTTCTCGATTTAGTAAAAATCCTATTATCATCCTTTTTTGTACTATCATCATACTGTAAAGAACAGCATCATTCGACGTAGTTCTTAACTTAATTTTTTGTACTTTATGAATGATTTGAAATTCATTTAATATTTTATGTAGGCAGACCAAGCAAAAGATTTGTAGGGCTTACATTGTATTTCTGCAATTCGACATTTTTCATGGATCAAGAAAAGTGGGAGGTCGTAAATTTCAAAAAACTGACTATTCGACTTCGGGTTATTTCTATGTACTTATTATCAAGTATGAATAATTTTGCATGTTAATAGGTATTTTAAATACAATAACACAAATTTCCGCAATCGCTAATGTCGTTAATCAGAAACTCAAATTATCTAGATGACGTTACCCAATCAAACATTTAATTTTTAAGTGAAAGTGCTTTTTCACTGTTCAAAGCCCCTATAAGCTAATGTTCGTTGAATGCAGGTCAATATTATTTGAATCGCATACGCCGTTGTTCTTGCAAATTAGAAATGCTGGTACGCTATCAATAATCGTGTTGGTTATGACATATATTGAAAAAATAATCAATCTTCGAAAAGCCGAGTTTTATTACACAGGAAACAGGTACGATTTGCATAATTTTATGCGAAAGGAGAAAGTGTTATTAGATTTACGCGCGCTTCACGTGCACATATTCCTATACATATGCATATATATATACATATATATATATATATATAATATATATATATATATATATATAATAATATTTATCTAGTATGTTAAGCCCATCCGCCGGCATATGAATCATACAAATAGAATACTTTGAAAAGAAACTTTAGGCTATGATCTATGATCGCACAACTTTATAATTAACAACGGTTTAGTTCATTAATCAAAACAATATATTTTTCGCTAGACTTGCGTTTCAAAACACATGAAGAAATATAATGTATTGTTTTGTTTTATTTACGCCAAACGAGTCCGAATTGAAGGTTAATGCTTCTTCCAATTAGGTAAATTCGTTAGAAACTGATAATGGCTAAAAGTAATTTCATTACCTTCTCGAGTAATTATAGTTTAGTTCCACGTGAAATATGTGACCTTATCAGAGCCTATACAATAAACGATCTTTACTCTTTTCATATGAAAATCTTCCATTCTATAGCATTCAACCATTAAGGCAGTTTATTCAATCTCCACAGTTGCAACTTCGATTTTGGCTTACAATCGAGCTACTGTTCTAATTCGAAATATCTTTGGTGATATGATGGAAAACATACATAGCTATATTATGTCCAACTAGAAAATAAAAAATCATTTTCTTAGGAGGATATTCTGGCCTAAAATTTAAGAAACAAAATCGATTTTATCGTCTGATTGAATACGATACCAAAAATTTCTCAACTTATACTAAACAAATTTACTTGTAATTTTACATAGTCTTTTTATTACAGACTTCCCTTCGGTATGAACTAAGATTATCCTCAAATTCCGTTTTTAACTACTTTAATAAAATCAAATCAAAAACAAATTTGTAAAATAGAAATATTTTATTCACGCAGTCGCCATTCTATGAAAATAGGAAGTAATTTTTGGAATTTGTCAGTAGTTCATACGATTGTGATATTCTTGATATAATGTATGTATATATAATAATAATGAATGGTGTTCCGCCCGATGACATGTCCATGGTGTGAGAGCCACCACAAATAAATGATTCCTTATCATTCGTTGTCTATTATTCTCATTACTAATATTTTCCCTCCGCTGTGCCTTTTTTTCATATATTTTCCTTTCCGAACTTGTACTTCCATGCTTTTTGATCCTGCGCTTCAGCTTTCAGTTCTCCGTATTTTCTCTTCTCGCGCAAGTCGTCAATCCTTTGCATTCTTCTTCTTCCCCTTCCTTTCAGTCCTTCTATTTTGTCATCGACGACGTCGTGCAGGAGGCACTCTCTTTGCAGGAGGGGACCAATCCAGTTTTTTTTTCTTTATATATTCATATTTATTTCTTCAGATTATTTGAATTCATGAGTATGGTCAGCCAATTTTTTGAGACACCCCTTTATCGCCTTCCAGAATTAAAACTTTATGATTATTTTTTTGGTCTCATATCATTAATTAATAACTTGTAAAAAACTATAGCTATAGAAACAGTGTTTCTGTAATTCAGGCCTTTAAGTTAGAATACCCTATTAATAAAAATGTTATATTATGAATTTCATTTGAATTTACAAATAATTATATTTCAGTTTTCAACAGTTTTCATTTATGTATACGAACAAATTCAATATCAAATGGGTTTTTTTATTTACTGAGAATAATAATCTCAAAAATTACGAAAACATTCTAGAATTCTAGTATAATAAAACACGGTAAAATTAATATATTATTCAGTAGACGTAATGTATTATTATGATTACATAGCCGCACGCTTACCCATTACCCTGGAGTGTAAATTATTATAGATCTATAAAAGCAGCATCACTTAATAGTTTTATAATCAAAACAGTGAAAAGTCAAAATGTTCTCATATTTCTAGTTTTGGTACTACTTAAATGTATTGGCTAAATTTGTCCCGGTCATGTGCACCCGGCCTAATGCCGAAGATGCTTTCGTCGCCTGTGCATTGGTGGTAATGAGACGCGTGTGACATAGTTCGCGTTTTAACGAAATGCGCACTATGAGAATTGAATACTAAACTTTTGAATTTTGCAGGTTTCGAAACCAGCTCAGGCGAACGCTCTTTGGGTTGATGATCCGAGCATTTGGCTCAGTCCGCCGCCCGTTGGAGGCACGACCGTTGCTTTTACCAAAA